GATGGTATGTTTTAAAAATCTTCTTCTCAAGAACCCCTGTGCCAGGAAGATGAAACTTTTAGGGAAGCATCCTCAGATAGTGTAGATTCAAGTTTGTTCAAATCATGACCCTCTGGGGTAGGGCAGTGCCACAGTGGCCAATCAAATTTTTACATAGAAATATATAAGAAAATTCTTTTAAAATCTTCCTCTCTAGAACCACTGGGCCAGGAAAGATGAAACTCATAGGGAAGCATCCTCAGGTAGCGTAGATTCAAATTTGTTCAAATCATGACTCCCGGGGGAAGGGCGGGGCCACAATGGCCGATCAAATTTTTACATAGAAATATATAGGAATATTCTTTAAAAATCTTCTTCTCAAGAACCACTGTGCCAGGAAAGTTGAAACTTATAGGGAAGCATCTTCAGATAGTGTAGATTCAAGTTTGTTGGAATCATGACCCCCGGGGATAGGGCGGGCCACAATGGCCGATCAAAGTTTTACATAGAAATAAATAGGAAAATTCTTTAAAAATCTTCTTCTCAAGAACCACTGTGCCAGGAAAGTTGAAACTTATAGGGAAGCATCCTCAGGTAGTGTAGATTCAAGTTTGTTCAAATCATGACCCCGGGGGTAGGGCGGGGCCACAATGGCCTATCAAAGTTTTACATAGAAATATATAGGAAAATTCTTTAAAAATCTTCTTCTCAAGAACCACTTTGCCAGGAAAGATGAAACTTATAGGGAAGCATCCTCAGGTAGTTTAGATTCAAGTTTGTTCAAATCATGACCCCCGGGGGTAGGGCGGGGCCACAATGGCCGATCAAAGTTTTACATAGAAATGTATATAGGAAAATTCTTCAAAAATCTTCTTCTCAAGAACCACTGTGCCAGGAAAGTTGAAACTTATAGGGAAGCATCCTCAGGTAGTTTAGATTCAAGTTTGTTCAAATCATGACCCCCGGGGGTAGGGCGGGGCCACAATGGCCGATCAAAGTTGTACATTGAAATATATAGGAAAATTTGTTAAAAAATCTTCTTCTCAAGAAGTAGCAAAGGCATGAATGACCATTATTTATATGAAAGCATCTTCAGGTAGTGTAGATTCAGGTTTGTTCAAATCATGACCCCCGGGGATAGGGCGGGCCACAATGGCCGATCAAAGTTTTACATAGAAATATATAGCAAACTAGCAAATTCTTTAGCAAAATCTTCTCAAAATTGGAATACACACAAGGCAATATGTTTAATGATCATAATCCCTTTGTTTCAGGAAAATTATGGAAGCACACAGCCACCTGGCTAATTAACATGCCTCAGGCTGTCAAGATTTTTAAAAATCTTCATTTTTCAAAAATAGCAAAGCCATAAATTAAGTAAATTATTTACTAATATGGAAGCATTCTAAACAGAAAGTAGTGTAGATTCAATTTTGAATAAAATACTTACAGTGCACCCCTGTAATTTTATAAAAGGCTTAAAAACAACAGTTAAGTTAGTTTCTTTGATTGAACTGATGTGATAAGGGCTAATTAAAGCCAGAATTTTTTTTTAAAGAATATATGTAAGACCAGTTTTCCTTATCCTGTTGGTAGAATATTTTGTAAATAGAATGGTCTCTACATGTATTGTTCAAATGTCATACCCTCTCCCTGAAAAAAGTATTTTTAAGGATTGTTTCCAAGGGACCAAACTTTAATAATTTTTGAAGGTTTCAACTTTTCAATAATAAACTGATTTATGCTTTTATTCCTTGCCACATTGCTCAGGTGTGCGATTGTGTTGATATTTTTAAAAAAATGAATGGAATACAGATATATGTTGACCTTGGCATTTCCTTTGACAGTATGAAAGGATATTAAAGGACCTCACTTTAATGAAATTAATGATCATAATCTTTATATGTTAATACATTTGTTTTAAAACTAATGTAACACAATTCAACTGCATCACTTTTAAAGATAATTCTGGTCAAATTTCATACACTAATACAAATTTTCATGTTGTTTTACTAATATACCCTTGGCGGAGCATTAATTCATGTCCTATGGACATATTTTTAGTTTAATAATATCTTACAGGAATATGTATTTCAAAGTTTACAACTCAATAAAGACAGCAAATTCTGAAAATAAAGAAATATACATTAAAAATAAAGAAATCCATTAAACTGTAATCTTTGGCCAGATAAAATGATAATCCATTAAGTGGTATAAACATGCTAAATATTGTAGCCTTCCTTGACTGAGTGATTGAGTCCAACCTATACCCCCAATGGGTCATGATTTGAAAAATTTTAAATTTATACATAAGGAATTTTCCCAAAAGTTTCAGTTTTCCTGGCCCAGTTGTTCTTGTGAAGAAGATTTTTTTATGACCTCATGGTATTTTTGATTTCTGTTGATTATCTCCCCTTGGAAGGGGGTTTGATCCTTTATTTCAACAATTTTAACTTTCCTTTACCCAATAATGCTTTTAAAATTAGCTTAGTACTATAGTTCTTAAGAAGTTGAGAAAAGTTTGACAGACAGATGGATGGACAAGAGGTAATTCGAAAAGCTCATTTCTATATCCTATACTTTAATCATTGGTGCATGAAAGATGCTTCAAGTGTTACATTGAACTACCCATGGTTTCAGATGCTGCAATTTCAGCAAATGAATCAGGCCAGATTAATGTTTTTGGTGCAGGTTCAAGTTTTTAGCTCACCTGCAAGTGAGCTTTTCTGATCAAAATTTGTCCGCTGTCTGTCGTCGTTGTCAACTTTTCACATTTTCATCTTCTTCTCAAGAACCACTGGGCCAATTTCAACCAAACTTGCTACAAAGTATCCTTGGGTAAAGGGGGTTTCAAATTTGTTCAAATGAAGGGCCACGTCCTTTTCCAAGGGGAGATAATTATGAATTAGAGAAAAATTAATGGCATTTTTAAAAAATCTTTTTCTCAAGAACCACTGGGCCAGGTAAGATGAAACTCATTTGGAATCATCCTCAGGTAGTGTACATTCAAATTTGTTCAAATCATGACCCGGGGGGTAGGGTGGGGCCAAAATGGCCGATCAAATTTTTACATAGGTGTATATAGGAAAATTCTTGAAAAATCTTCTTCTCAAGAACCACTGGGCCAGGAAAGGTGAAACTCACGTGGAATCATCTGCAGGTAGTGTAGATTCAAATTTGTTCAAATCATGACCCCGGGGGGTAGGGTGGGGCCAATATGGCCGATCAAAGTTTTACATAGGAATATAAAGTAAAAATCATTAAAAATCTTCTTCTCAAGATCCGTAGGAACAGGAAAGATGAACTTCATGTGGATTCATCCTCAGGCAGTGTACATTCAAATTTGTTCAAATCATGACCCCTGGGGCTAGTGTGGGGCCATAATGGCCGATCAAAGTTTTACATAGGAATATATAGTAAAAATCTTTAAAAATCTTCTTCTCAAGAACCACTGGGCCGGGAAGGATGAAACTCATGTGGAATCATCCTCAGGTAGTGTAGATTCAAGTTTGTTCTAATCACGACCCCTGGGGGTAGGGTGGGGCCAAAATGGCCGATCAAAGTTTTACATAGGAATATATAGTAAAAATCATTAAAAATCTTCTTCTCAAGATCCATAGGAACAGGAAAGATGAACTTCATGTGGATTCATCCTCAGGCAGTGTAGATTCAAGTTTGTTCAAATCATGACCCCTGGGGCTAGTGTGGGGCCATAATGTCCGATCAAAGTTTAACATAGGAATATATAGTAAAAATCTTTAAAAATCTTCTTCTCAAGAACCACTGGGCCAGGAAAGATGAAACTCATATGGAATCACCTTCAGGTAGTGTAGATTCAAGTTTGTTCAAATTATGACCCCTAGGGATAGGGCGGGGCCAATATGGCTTATCAAAGTTTTACATAGGAATATATAGGAAAAATCTTTAAAAATCTTCTCAAGAACCATTGAGACAGGAAAGATGAAACTCATGTGAAATTTAATCCTCAGGTAGTGTAGATTCAAGTTTGTTCAAATCATGACCCCCGGGGCTAGGGTGGGGACAAAATGGCCGACCAAAGTTTTACATAGGAATACATAGTGAAACCTTTTAAAATCTTCATTTCAAGTACTTCAAAGCCATAATTAGTAATATTTATATGGAATCATCCTCAGGTAGTGTAGATTCTAGTTCATTCAAATCATGATCCCCTGGGGGGTGAAAATTCAAGCCCCCCCCCCACCAACCTCAGTAAACTTTCAGTTCTGATCTGATATGTGCTTTTTCCTAGCCGATGTGCTCAGGTGAGCGCTGTGACCACTGGGCCTCTTGTTTGGTACAGGTCTCATTTCCATGTAACTAAAAAACCCTATATTGACCAAACCTTGGTAAATGATATATATAAGGATATACACTAACAGACTTGCTCAGATGCCACAACAATAGATGAACACTCTCATTGAATGTTGCTTCAGATGCTGGATTTGAAGTAAACATTTTCTGGATGAGTGACTAATTTGAAGTTTTGGGAAAATTCTAGCTATTCCAAGAAATTGCAAACCCTATCAGATCAAAGTTGCATAAATGTTGCATCTTGGATGTACACATATTAATTTAATGTGGACTTTACATTACTTAAAAACAATTTGATGAGGTACGTGTTCTGTTACTAATATATTGTGTTCACTTATGTTTGCATTGTTAAATAAATAGCCTGGATCTGTAGTTTTCTGTTGGTGTGTAGGGGAATGCAGGTTACAAGGTGGGAAGTTTTGTATGAATTAAGGTCAAGATACATAAATAAGAGAATTAAAATACATATATTTTGCTTTAGTAAGTTTAACCTACCACCCCATGTGTTTGCAAATTCCATTAATGCGGATTGAAAATGATCTTTTGTGACCTTACCTATGTCAGTTCAACTCACTGTCTTGCTTTCATTTTTTGGTCACAATGTTTCAAAATTTATGCAAAGTGGGTAACAAACTGTTTCTATATGCCTACTGGTGAATGAGTTCACTGATGCATCACCGTTGTAAATATATGTAGAAGGATCCTCGTGTCTTACTACTAGACATGTGAAGGGAAAATAAACTTACAGGTGAATGGGGCAAAATGACCAGACAGAGTAAGTTTATTCACAATTCATTAACTTTTATTGTGCTGAATTAGTAATATTGTGAGGTTAATGAGATCAGTGAAGGTGAAGACAATCTACATCTAGCCGGGTTTGCAGATAGAAAAATATTCCCGGAGAAAATACATGTAAAATCAAAATTTAAGAATTCCTTAAAACTTTGTTAAACAGAGAATTTTTTATCTGTAAAAATCAAAGACAGTGTGAAAGGTGAACTCAGTATTTATTGCTTTTGTATTTTCTGTACAAATACTCCTCCAAACATTGTTATAAATTTTACGTTATTTTACTGAACAACAACCATAATATGAATACCTGAATATCCCAGGGTTATGAACCCTGTATTAGAGGACAGCACTGGTCTTTGTGTTGTGTGGAACCAGTATTTCACATATCAGGTGTCAAATGCCCTCTTAAAAATAAATAAAGCAGTAAGTTCTGTATTGAGGAAATGTGCACCCCCTTAAATCCCAGCCACTTGTGTGCCCCCTTATTAACCCAAGTCACTGCTCTCAGAAGCAGTTCTGTGGTACATACAATAATTATAACCTCTGAATTGTAGCGATTTTGAATTACATGTGTCAATTTTTGGTTCACAAATGATTTTTAGCTGATGTACGTTTTACGAGTCAATGAGATCTAGCTGGGTGGATCTTTAAGCTTACATAGTTATTTTGAGAAATGATAGTGTGAAAATAGGGTGGTGATGTTTAGGGAACATTTATAAACATTTTAAAAAAAAAAATAAGAAATATATGTTTTGTCAATTAGCCAGACTTGAATACTGGTCTATTATTAGCCATTTCAATTTTCTATTTTTAGCGAAAACAATATTTCTTATAATCAGATATGCATTTGCTTTTTGCAAAGATAGTAAATTAATGTTTTGTACTCTTTATTAATTGGCATTTTCGGCATGTAAATGTACATTTACAACATATATAGATGAATGTGGTCACTCATGCAGTGCCTTATAGTAAATATGTGGACCCTTATAGCTATATAGACAAATGTCATTTAATATAGAAATAAACATGTTCAGGTAAATTTAAAGTTTACAGGTGAATCAAATGTGGGAATGACCAAACAAAGTAAGTTTTAATATATTGGTTAAAAATTCAATATTAATTTTGTTTTTGATGAGATAGAATTTTAAGGAAGTATGACCTTGTCTGATAACTTTGGAGAGCCCTACTGGGGATTCCTAGTGACAAGGTTTTTGGGACGATTATATTGGAATGTGGATCAATTGAACAATCGATCTGTATTGATCTACTTATCTTCTTATCTCTTACTGCCAGAAAAATCTGTCACATATTAATTACTGTAGAAGTACTTTTTTCCGAGTGGTATTAATTTACGCTATGAACGCGGTCACACATTTTCCGCGGAAAAAGCGTACTTAAAATAAATGTAAGGCATATAGTTTTTTAATACATAAACAGAAATTGAGAGTAATTTTGTCTACAGTATTCCTTAAAAGCACCATTTTTTTAATACATAGGAAGTAATTTTGCAAATACCGGTATGTAACCAACACTTCTAAACCTTTTGATTTTATTGGCATAGGTCAAGACCATGCTAGCTGCTTTATAAAATTTTAAGATGACTGTTCATCTTATCAGAATTTTTCCATATCATCAAGGATGGAAATGATATTAATGCAAAATTCATCTCTATATTGACTTTATTTTGTTGAAGTCTCCATGAATTCAAATAAGGCAATTAATGCTTGTCAATGGTTTATTTTTTGACTGTTATAATTTTAAGGGTATCATAGTGTCATCCTTGGGGTGGAGAATGAACACCTTAAGAAGACATGAAAAATTTACTTGAACTGAGATCATTTTCAATGTTAATGATTATAATCTTAATACCTTTTGGGCACACAATGAAGCGTGTCAATATTTGATGTATTCCAAGTAAAAGTCAAACAATAATAAAGACATATTTTATTTGATCTTCCATCCCTAACATGTACATTATGGGTTACGTTCCAATAATTTTACATAATTCTTGTAATTGTTTGATTTACCATGTCAAGCAACTATAGATTTAAATGTTGAAGAACTGGCAAAAATTAGGAATTTCAGCAACAATTGGGGTACCTCAAGTTTAAACTGGAAAATTTAGAAAATTTCTTCTACATATAAAACATTAGAGACATCTTGTGGTCTTGTGTAGATCAATAATCCTTTTGAAAATAGAGTTAAATGTTGTTTTTTTTTAGTTTGGTGACGGGGGTAATAAATCATGAGAGTGTACAATGAGCTTTAAGCTGTTAAAAAGATTTTTAGTCGACATTCAGATTGCCAAGCAATTTGTTTTGTTTGTTTTGGTGAAATAAGATTTGCAAATGTGAATATGCTGTATATAAAAAAAAATGTTGATTATGTCTCTCGAGACCATTAAGCTGTCTTTATGAACATATGTGAAAATTTCAAATTGATTTGAATTTGCTTGTCTTTTTGTCTCCCACAGCTAGTTTCTAAAAGCATAAGAAGAGGGGAAGTTAATGTGACTCTTTGTCTATAAAACTTTAGTTTCTGGAAGATATACCAGTACCTTTAATTGGCATATGCAAAATTCCTGTAGCTTTGCAATGAAATTTTATATTGTTTCTCCTTTAAAAGAAGACCTCAATCGATTTTGAAGTCCAAAGGTAAAGGTCAGAATATAATTCATATACTTTTAAACTGTGAGAATTGTTTTCCAGATAACTTTAGTTCTTCTTGAGCTTTTGCAATGAGACTTGAAGTTAATTATGAATTAAGACCACTGTTAATACTGAGACAAAAAGTGAAAGGTCAAGATCACAATTTTAAATATGATATGAAATGGTTTCCAGACTCCCTTCCATATTGTTTATATATTTAGCTAAAACATTTATAGCCCCTATTGATTTTTTGTAGAAAAGATCAGGGATCAAGATCACAAACATGTTTATTGTTACAAATTGTTTCTTGATATTTCAAATAAGCATCCATTCCTAAGTCAGGGGATGGGGTGGGGGTGTAATTTTACTGATCAGAATTATCTTGATTTATATAAACAGCTTGAATCAATTTAAAGTTAAACTTGACATTTTTGTTTTCCAGAGGAGGTGAAAGTAAAGGTGGGCCTCTCAGGCCCCCCGCCCATGAAAAGTGGCTACCAATATGTCAACCCAGGACAGGAGGATCAAATGGTAAATACTGTATTAACTATTCCCAATCAGATATATTGTCAACTTTATAAAACCTTTGGACTGATTCTCAGCAAAGCAGTGTTACCTGTGTTTTTAGTTAAACTTGAATCACCTTATATGAGATCAAGATGTGTTTTCTCTATTACTGACTAGATTTCTGTAAGAGTGGATTGATCTTTTGTTGACTTTATTAAAATGGTTATTTCTTAAAATATTGATAAAATTAACTTAAAAAGGATTGCATGTCCATAAAAAAAATCCTTGTTTTTTTGTATCATTGAACTTAACTGACTTCAGAAAGCATGCAATATGAAAAATTAGAGTACAATTTATAGAAAGGGTCTTAAATAAACATTGTTGAAAAGCAAACTCTCATTCAACTTTTCACCTTTCTGGGCTTCTTTAAAAGGCTCACTGAACCATTTTTTTCCCCCAAAATTTGCATGTGTGTGTGCTTTGTATTTAAATTGATGTATTTTTGTGTTAGAGACACATCTGTTTAAAAAAAAGGGGTCAGGTAGAGTCCCATCAATATAAAACGGAGGTCCATAAAAACATTTTTGAAACACTTGTCAAACAAGACAATAATAAGGCAGGAGTTGGGTTAACTGTATACAGATATGGAATTGGTATGAGGGACAATACAATAGCATTATTTATGGTTCCCTCAGGAAACTATTTTTCTAGGTAGCGAAGCTGCTGAGAGAAATAATTTCCTACTGAGAGGGACCATGAATTTGCTATTTCCTGAGTACCAAATCCATAATTTAATATACTATACAAAATTATTATGCTTCCTGTCAGTTTGTCTCTATATAACCCATAATCTACTATTCTCGCATAGTGTTCTAAGGTTTTATATAGCGTAAGCATACTATGCTGAAATAGTGCACGGCTTCCAATTATGAAGAAAATCCGACGACGCCCATACCGGGGAGCAAACTCACGACCCCAAGATTGTCAGTCCGACACGCTACCGATTACGCCACAGACGCCGTTATATAAAGTACTGTTCTATAATATATATAAACTTAGTTTCAAATATTTTACACTTACGATTAAAAATAAGCAAAATAATAATTATAAAATAGTTTTTTGCAACCCCCCTTCCTTCACTCAAATAATATTCTCTAAAACTATCTGTAGATTATACCTAAAGCATGGAACGTTCAAAATTAAAGAATAAGATTATGACATAAATATTGCATAAGGTGACGTCATAATAGAGTAGACGAATGTTACAGGTGATGAAACATTGGGAATGAAGAAAATATTGCCGTTTTTAGACGGTGGCTATATATAGCCACAGGCTATTGCTGCTGGTCTGTGTAAACACACGGGGACCCTAGCGGCGATTTTTGCAGAGTGAAAATAATGAAAGTAGACTTATTTCAATGTTTGAAAATAAAATGTACATAGTTAACAAATACTTTCAAGTTATTTCAGAGACATTTCGTTGATGGATACAAAGCCTAATTCCTGATATTTGCCGTTATCAATATTTCTCGCCTCATGAATATTCATTGAGTTATGCCGAACTAAACTAACTCATACACCAACCGACTCGTAAATTCGTAATCAAACTACAGATGTCAATTCGTACATTTTTTTTTTTCGTTTTTTCTCACATGTTCAAAAAATAAGTTTCGTACGCACATTGTGTTTCTTTAAAATTACCAATTAATTGTTGAAAAATATTTGAAGTTTTAATTGTACGATTGTTTCACTATCTAACTCCGAAGTCAAATACTAGTATTTATTACTAGTAATTGCTAAACAACACACGGCTGTTTCTTAAATACTGCTTTGTGAATTTTTTCTTTTACAATAAAACTTAAATAGTTTATTGTAATTTAACAGTCTTTTTGTTTGAATTTCTTATATCTGTTTACAATGCTATATTAGTAAAACGAATATATGTATTTTAGGAAAGAAGAAAAAAGATCACTACATCTTAATCAGTTAATAAAACGGTTGTTGGAGGTATATGATGCCATAAAATTTGCTAAGTTTATAACCATTCTAGTTTTTAAATATAAGACTTTGTCTGATTATCTCAGACACAAAAACGACTCAACGGATAAAAATTTGTCAAAGCTATAATTAGAAAGACTACAACGGACAATTTACCCATATATTTCATTCCTATAATTAGAAACTCTAACGTGCCTCTAATAAATATACCCTTTAGTGGGTGTACGAAAAAGTACACTCAAATACATGTGCATGAAATAAAACTAGTATTAGGATTTTATGCGATTTTAGTGGGCTGAATTTAGGTCAGTCTTCTGGTGTGTTCACAACGCAGTAAATATGTATTGCGCAGTGATTCGCATGCTTATTAAATTATTAGAATATTACGTATGAGAAATACCATCATCGCAAACCATAGCCAAAATGTATGATCCTCTCCCATTCTGGAGAAAGCTCCATGCGCATATATACAGACTCCGATCGTGACTTGAGACGACGGAAAGTAGAGACAGAAAAATATTTTGTTATTCTTTTTTTCTATCTTTTTTTTCTGAGCAGTACACGAGGGTTGTCGTGTTCAAAGCGTTTTTCTCGAAAATAAGTAGGCGCTGCAAGATAAAATTTTAATTTCGCAAGTATTTATTTATCATATTTTAGTGTATCTGAATTCTTTTGATAAAATATAGACAATTTTTATGCACCCGAATTTTTTCGGGGCGCATATTGTTTTTGTCCTGTCTGTTTGTCTGTTTATCTGTTTGTCTGTTTATCTATTTGTCTGTCTGTCGTCAACTTTAACCTTCGCCATAACTTTTGAACCAAAAGAGACAGGGACTTCATATTTGGTATGCATACTCCTCTAATAAAGTTCTTTCAAATGACATCAAGGTCAATGACCTTGTGACCTTGAATGTGACCTATATGCTAAAAATAGGTTTTTCAACTGTTTGTCATAACTTTTGAACCATAAGAGATAGAGACTTTATATTTGGTAGGCATACTCCACTAATGAAGTTCTTTCAAATGACACCAAGGTCAATGACCTTGTGACCTTGACTGTGACCTATATGCTAAAAATAGGTTTTTCAACTGTTTGTTATAACTTTTGAACCATAAGAGATAGAGACTTCATATTTGGTATGCATACTCCTCTAAAAAAGTTCTTTCAAATGACATCAAGGTCAATGACCTTGTGACCTTGACTGTGACCTATATGCTAAAAATAGCTTTTTCCACTTTTTGCCATAACTTTTGAACCATAAGAGATAGGGACTTCATATTTAGTATGCATACTCCACTAATAAAGTTCTTTGAAACAACACCAAGATCAATGACCATGTGACCTTGACTGTGACCTTTATACTAAAAATAGCTGTTTCCACTTTTTGCCATAACTTTTGAACCATAGGAGATAGGGACTTCATATTTAGTATGCATACCCCACTAATTAAGTTCTTACAAACAACACCAAGGTCAATGACCTTGTGACCTCGACTGTGACCTATATACTAAAAATAGCTTTTTCGAACTTTGTTGATGCCGGGCGCATAGTGTTTCACAAACACATCTTGTTAAAAAAAAACAATACTTCATTAACATGCTTTAATGTACTTAAGCATGATAAAAAAAACCCCGGTTTTAAAAGTAATACCTGAATATTGTTTCGAAATAAAAGTATTAAATAGATTTTGGTAAACATTATCTTATTTTTTATTCATTATCTATTGTGTCGTCTTTTGGAAAATTTATGGACATTTGCTTAATTATTTTATCAATTTATCAGTTTATCAAGCATCCGAAATGGGAAAGTGGTAAATCCACGAAAAATGGCGGCGTTCGATGGCGATACTAAGCACTGGAAAGCAGTTCAGTTTTTTCCTCTTTAGTGTACTAGAGAAATGGGAGTTTTCTAAGCGAAATCGTTTTAATCAAATCCAAGGGTAGAACAAACAGCTACAGGAATAGCGGAAGGCACTGTCAAAGTTGACAGCTAATATATATAAGATTCTTTTGTATAATGATAGTACAAATATTGTCCATAACTTTAGTACTAATTAAATCTTCACAAGGTCCTATTTGTGCGCGAGATTGGTTTCTGGCTGTTATTTGAAGAATTAAGGGAGACTCAACTATGTGAATCAATGAAATTCCTTTAAGTTAATTTAAGTTGAAATTATCCAACTTGTTTTTAGCAAAGAGGAAACTTGACACTGCTTTAGACATTTTGACATTATCATTGTGTGTCGTAAGGCGACACAACACATTTAAATGAAATCTTATAATTTGCAATTGTTTATTTATGCATATACCTATTTGAAGTTTGCTATGTTTTTTGATGAAAATTGTAATAAGATAGTAACAATTTTAGATAACAGTGAGAATTCATAACACTTTACTTTTTAGTACAAAAAATATAAATTTATATATTAAAATACAGGTAGATATATTGTGAAAAATTGAAATAAACTTTTATAATTTCCATATCATTTTACAAAATCTTAAAACATTTTTTCTTATATACTGCCATTCGCCATTTGACGTAGCGAGTTTGCTTTGGACTCACAGACCCGAAGAAGTCCATCCTTACGTCGTGGATTCGACTCCCACTGCGTGACATTATATCGACCCTTAATTCAGATTGAGATCCCGTGTCGCAGTAATTGCTAGCCAGAAAAATATCCTTCGCTGCTAAAAATGTTATTCTCAAAAGGGGTGTTAATTAAACAAACAAAATCATTCATGCCACCGTCTTTCAGTACTCACAGTACTTTGATTATACAGTAACAACAGTCAGCATAATAATAACAATAGTGTTGTGTTTTGCGTGCACTATGCCTAAATAGTAGTCAGGGTTTGACACATGGTGCACGAGCCGGAGAAGATTTATGAAACCAGATGCTCAGACATTTAATATAGCTCAATGCTGAGGATTGAAATGAGCACTATAGTAAAATTGTAACTAAAATTTTGTTAGATATATTTTATGATGCATCAATACTGAGAAACATAATTGATATATTAAAAATTCACAGATTTTTGAAAAAATATTGCAATCATTTTGGATAAAATCAATAATGATTTTATTTTAAATGTTTTGATGTCATCTTTAATGGATAAATTAAAAAAATTACATCAAAGCTTCAAGACTTCTTGAATGCTCCACCTACTAAGCATTTTGATTGGGTTAAAATATGAATGTTTATGAGGGAGTAGTTCCAGGGAGTATTCCTCAGATGGGGGAAGTAGTGCCTTAATTTCAGGAAAATCTACAGTTTTATGGTACATGTATTAATCTTATTATACAATTATGTATATACATTTCCAATGTCTTTTTCCAAGATAAAATTACAAATAGCTAATGTACTTTATTTTTCCATCAATGTACTGGTTCACTGATAGGCGAAGTTAAACAAAATCATGTGCAGGGCGGGACAAATAGCTAGACAGAAGCAGGGCTTGTATCGTGGATTGGCGGAATCAAGAGCATGTAAATATTAGGAATAACTGTCAGATTTTTCAATTTCATGACGATGATCAATCATGATAATTTTATCACGCAAGCCAATTGATTGATCACATCATGAAATCGAAAAATAAGACAGTTATTCCTTAAATATAGAATGATAAAAGTAGAGGTACATGTACATGTACATTAATATACAGTTACTTAAAGTCAATGGACCAAGGTGGTTCAAACTCAATACTGTAAACCAACTTTTATTCGCCAGTAATAAATATCTGCAAGTCTGAAGACTTACTTTAAATCATGAATATTAATCACTTGGAACCATTTATTTGGCATTATATTTATAGACAATGTTTCCTCAGTTGTGAAAATAGATAACACAAATAAATAGTTGGTTTACAATATGTTCTATTTCCTGAGACCAGCGGCCAAAATTTTGAATTTTGAAAATATAGCTAAACTTTGATCTGGATGATTCCTGCAATAGTTTTCACAACCATTGTAACAGAATTACATGCATAAGGTTAAAATTGGAGGTATGAGAGTACAAAGAAAACAACAGCGAGTATTACTTTGTGATTTAACAGTTTGTGTAATTTCAGGAGATCGGTGGTTACCGCCCCAGTCTGTTGAGGAAGATGCTGGTCTGGTTCTTCATCCTCATCACTGCTGGTCTTCTTCGCCTCTTCTTTTACTGGTTCCATCATCTCTTCATCAAGTGTACACACACAAAGTGCTCATTAGCAGAAGCCAAAGTTGTCATACTAAGGGTAAGAAGCCTTACAATATATCTGTATACAGATTTAATGTAAAATCACATGCTTTTGAGACGTTAAATGTTTGAGATTTTAGAGAAATAATTTTGATTTAAGGGATTTTATTTCATGGTTGAAGGAGTGCGGCATTGTTATGCATGTAAATTTTTAAAGGACGTAAAGTCATGGGCCTCTTCCTACCATGAAAACAATGTAACCCCCCCCCCCCCTAAAAATAGTGATTTCACTGTGAGTTGCACTTTTTTCGCACAGGACCAGTATCTTCAGTGGTTTGTATCCCGAGTCAAAGTTACCAGTAAAAATGGACAACTTCCAAACAGGTAATTATCAAGAATTGTTTTAGTCATTCCCATTCATATTTAGAATTAAGCTTACTTACAAAGAATCTAACACTATAAAGTATGACTCATTGGTAAAAGCATTGCAATTTTCCATATATAGTTCTTTGACCACAACTTGCCAGTACATTAGACACTGACCCAGTTATCAATGTAGCAACCATGCAATTTACATCAATTCCAAAAGTACTTTTATTAAGTAACCATAAATATATATTCATGTGTGGTAGTTCTTAATTGGACTTTAAGGAACTTGACACTGACTGTACATTGTAGTGGTACTAAGGAGGGTGTGACGGGAATTACCTTCAGCAAGAGTACCTATGACAGCAACACTCCTCTCAGAATGGGGGACACGAAGGTACAGTTCTAATTCTGATCCACAGTCATGTTCTTTTTAGTTCTTACCCCAAATTAATGGAGAATGTAACATTTATCAATTTCTTAGGTTATATATATAGGGATTTTTATATGAAACATTAAATTTATTCATTTTATATTATGGTACGCTTTCCCACTTTCCATCGACCTCATCAATGTTTATAAACTTTGTCAATGTTTCACATTTTATATGCATAAAGTCTTCTGTATGTACAAGTTACTCGCAAAATTACATCCCAGCAGCCTATTTAATTGTAGTTGTTCATGAGTAGTGACCCCCACCCCCTTTCAATGAATTAAAGTGATTCCAAAGTCAACCTTGAACAGCTAACCAAATCATCTCAAACAACTTTAAGATACGCAGTATCTCAGATTTAGAGATACATTGTATTAATTAATTAATAATTATACATGACGTAAAAACTATGGGCTCATTTTGATATATCATAATTATATCTTACATATCAAGATATCTTGTTTTAACTTGTTTTAATTTGCCTAATTACATGTACCGGTATATGAGCTTATATTCAAATGAAATCACTATATTTATATACTAATATTAAGATTGCATGTTTTTTAGCTCTACTGGTCAGAGACCAGAAGAGCTTATGCGATAGTAAGGTGTCCGTCGTCTGTCCGTCTGTCTGTCTGTCTGTCCGTCTGTCTGTAAACAATTTTTCAAAACGCTACTCCTCCTACAGTTTTGGTATGATTTTAATATAACTTGGCACACAAGTAGACTAAACTAAGATACATAAAATAGTGCATCGGTTTTTGATTTCGATGAACGGTGTTGCCATGGTTACTAAAAATAGAATTTTCTGTGAAATTCCTTTAAAACGCTACTCCTTCTACAGTTTTGGTCTGAATTCAATATTACTTGGCACACAAGTAGACTACACTAAGATACATAAAAAAGTGCATCGGTTTTTGATTTCGATGAACGGTGTTGCCATGGTTACTAAAAATAGAATTTTTTGTGAAATTCCTTTAAATCGCTACTCCTTCTACAGTTTTGGTTTGATTTCAATATAACTTGGCACACAAGTAGACTACACTAAGATACATAAAACAGTGCATCGGTTTTTGATTTCAATGAACGGTGTTGCCATGGCTACTAAAAATAGAATTTTCTTTGAAATTCCTTTAAAACGCTACTCCTTCTACAGTTTTAGTCTGATTTCAATATTACTAGGCACACAAGTAGACTACACTAAGATACATAAAATAGTACGTCGGTTTTTGATTTCAATGAACGGTGTTGCCATGGCTACTAAAAATAGAATTTTCTTTGAAATTCCTTTAAAACGCTACTCCTTCTACAGTTTTAGTCTGATTTCAATATTACTAGGCACACAAGTAGACTACACTAAGATACATAAAATAGTACGTCGGTTTTTGATTTCGATGAACGGTGTTGCCATGGTTACTAAAAATAGAATTTTCTATGAAATTCCTTTAAAACGCTACTCCTTCTACAGTTTTGGTCTGATTTCAATATTACTTGGCACACAAGTACACTACACTAAGATACATAAAGTAGGGCATCGGTTTTTGATTTCGATGAACAGTGTTGCCATGGTTACTAAAAATAGAATTTTCTATGAAATTCCTTTAAAAGCTACTCCTCCTACAGTTATGGTCTGATGGCAATGACTTCTTTTCTCATCCTTTGTTATAAGTACAAACCAGTAGAGCTACAGTCTCGACAGAGACTTCTGGTTTTCTGACAACATGTTTGAAACCTTGATTGCACAGAGCATATTGGAATGTAATGTGCTTAAAACTCATCATCCCTCTTTTTTCTTTCTTAGTTAACAAACTAATTGAACTTTCAAACAAAAAATGATTAATTAAGTTCAGCTTTAAATTAATACTGTATTGTTTTTATACTAGAAGAGCTGAGGTTCTCAAAATAAAGTTCTTGGAGCATATCTTTTGAGATTTAGTTCTACTGATCAGAGACTAAATGAGTTTATGTGACAGTAGGATGTATGTCATCCGTTCGTCAGTCTCAAGTCCGGACTGCTTCTTTTCTCTTCCTTTGTTATAAGTACAAACCAGTAGACTTCTGGTTCAATGTAAATTGGCACACAAGTAGATTACGACTACACAGATACATACCAGTAAATTAGTGCATTGGTTTTTGATTTTGATGAATGATGTTTCATTGTTTCTAAAAATGGAAAATACTCCTTCAGGTTTGGTCTGATTTCAATGTAACCTGGCACATAATTAGACTAATTCTCTTTATTGCTAATGCAAGGTTTTAAGTCAAAGTGCTACTTTTCTCTTCCTTTGGTATACTAATATGTGCAAACCAGTAGAGCAGCAGTCTCATCGGAGACTTCTGCTTATAGTAAAAATAGAGAAATAAGTCTTAAATTATAGATTTTTTTTTTAACATTTGCTGATGGAGAGCTGGGCTCTAACCACAGCATCTCTGACAATCACTCTCTTTGAATAATAAGCCTGGAGTAAGGTTATGTGCTAAAAGTCCAAAATTTTGATGGAAAAGTTAATGAATTATTTTTTGCCTTTGGTCAACCTCTTGGTTCAATTTGTGTAGTCATCAAATGTTTCCATTGGTTTTCTAATTCATTAATTTTCATATGCCTAATTTTTTTTTTGCTTGTGCATGTCATTGAGTTGTGACCTTTTTTTTTCCTTATTTCATAGACATCTGCAGATCATGATTCCGAGGGACAACTGTCAGCGTTTGATCGAGTTTTAGAAGTAATTAACACTTTATTGTGTGGAAGCTTTCTGCTTGTAAATTTTCTTACTCAGTGCTCTGCATGATGTCTTTGAATGCATTAGTTGGCTTATTCATTATCCAGAAAAATGGTGTGTGTAATTCAAGATATTTGAGTTTAAGATATCAAAGTTCAACTGTATTTCCGTGTTGAAAATTATTAATACTGATCTATCTACTAACTGATCTGTTTTACTAACTTACATGTATAAAGTACTATTATTTTGTCTTCGTCACTTTTTTTTATGTAATTGACTAGGTTACCACCCAATCAGATTGAAGAAAAGAAAAGATAGTAGTATTATTCAAGTCATTTCAGATTAGATGTACTGTAGAAAAATATATGTACATTGTATATACACATATTCATATTGCAAGTGTATTTTTCGGGGGTGATAAATGGTCGTTTTATCCTTTATAGGGTGTTGTCAAGGTTCATGCAGCATCTTAAAAATCTATTGAAAAAAATTTCTTTTATTAAAAATGAAGTACATGTATATATATTTTCCTCATTTTGCTAATTAATAAAATTTGATTTGTTGTAGTTGAATCGAAGCATGATCCGCTATTTCATTACCAAAAAAGTCAAGTACATCTGGGACAGTGATTCTCAAACATTTAAAAAATTAGAGTGAGTATTTCAAATCAATGTGAGCATTCTGTATAAAATTGTTATAGAGTTAGTTAGTGTATCGTTGGTAAAGCAGATAACAGTATTTCAAAAAACAGGTGTAAATTCTCTTATTAATAAGACAGTTCAATTTTTCTGACTGCATTTTTATGGGACTTAATTAAAAGAAATTTATTATTTAGAATTGTCAAATTATGTTAAATTTATTTAAAGAAATTATATTTAACACCAGAATAAAAATGGAACTGACTTATCCACCTGTTGTAGAGGTTTAGATAAAAACACAAAGTGTTCTTATTTCCATGGCTGCAAAGGACTGAACTATGCTCAACAACAAGAAAGGTCAGCTATTCTTACTTATTTACTTATTTAGTTCATTTGTAATAATAAATATGGTTCCTAATTTTGTGTATATAAAAATATGTTTCAAGCTCCAGTTGAAATTATCTTTTCAAGAAAATTATCTTTGATTTTTTGAAATTTCAAGATATTTCAATTACCGGTAGGAATAAGTTGAGTATATATCTCGATTAAAAAAGGTTTCTTTGATTGCATTGAAGAGGGAATGTTGCTGAAATGTGATATAACTTCTCTGTTTTGCAGAATGACAATGTTTGGTTCCAATTCCATTCAGATTCATGTTACCCCAATCATCAGACTCCTTTTTAAAGAGGTACTGTATACAGGGTTATTTTTGCCCCATGTTATTTTCGCCCTTTCACACTTGCAGACAATTTTTCCCCGTTTAAAATTTGCCCAGTCATATTTTCATTTAAGAAATTATACTGTATTCTTTATGTTCGTCCAGTTTTAAATTCGCCCAAATGAGAGTAGGGCGAAAGGGGCGAAAATAGAACATAAAGTATTATATTCATGTATGAGACTTAATGAAATTTTGTAATGTAGCCTTGCAGAGAAAATGAACAGAATAATTTTCTATTCTGGCCTAACTTGGAATAGTAAAAACTTGTTCTAAAAGTTTTTCAATTCTTTGTTATTATCATTGAAAGGTATAATATTAAAAGTTTTTCAATTCAGGGTGTTGAAATTATTATCGGATTTCCATTTTACAAGGTATAAAACAAATAAAAAAAATATTTGTGCATATTATGAAAATAGTAAGTTTTAATCCAATAACAATCAACATAAAATATCGTTACGGTAACAAGAAATTTAACTAAACTACCTACGTAAACCGTTTCTTTGCTGCCATTTTTATTTACAATAACAACGCTTCGAACGGAATCACGTGCCCGATTTTCATATTACGCCTTGACGGAGACGTAATACGGAAAATTTCAGGGTGTCATGTGATCAGCCTTTATCCAATCAGCAATCTACAAATTTGTCTGAAGCGGGATAAAACAAATTATGTGAATTTGTTTATAAACCAACTTGTATGGTGTTATTTGTTGTACAGGTGCTGTCCCCTTTCTACATCTTCCAGTTGTTCAGCTGTGGGATTTGGTTTGCAGATGAATATTACTACTATGCCAGCTGTATAGTTGTCATTTCTGTTGTTTCCATAACTGTCACCATTTACCAAACCAGGAAGGTTGTCACACATTTCTATTTATGTTGTATAATACAATAAAAAATATAAATACCTGTTCTCTGTACTGGTAAATTTAAGCTCTTTTTAATCATAAGTTCATAATTACATAGTGATATGAACCAACAGGTGCTCTGGTATACATGTGACCTGTGCAGATATAGTTTTATGTCAGTGTTTTGCCCCTCTGTTTGTCTATCTGTATATTCATGCCAGTATGTGTTTAACTTTGCATTGAAGGCTACATTCTTGAAGAAACTATTAAAGATAGATAATTTTTTTTACTAAGCATCACACATATCCACATGACTTTAACTAGATTTCACAACTTCTAATGTTTTTAATTGAGATTAAATCCTGTACAGTCAGTGATAGAATTTCTATTTTCCATGTTGTAGATGCAAAGGGCTTTAAGAAACACCATAGAATCATCCACCATTGTAACTAAACTGACTGGAGATAGTAAGATTATTAGTTCTTGAAGCATCTTTACATTTTTCATAACAAAATATGTTACCTTCTTTCTACTCTGTGGAGTTTAACACACCTGTACATTAACCTCTCTCCTCTTTTTCAGCGTACCAGGACATTTGCTCCGATGATCTTGTTCCTGGGGATATTATCTCAATCCCACGGAATGGCTGTATCATGCAATGTGATGCAGTGCTTCTGACAGGAAATTGTATTGTTAACGAGAGCATGCTCACAGGTAACTAATGGGACTTTGTTATTTACTCACTAACAGACTTGAAGAAAGCATACAACGTAAACAGAACCCTCTGAATGTGATTTATGAGTGAATTAAGATGTCATATTATAAAATTAATGTTCTTGAATACCAGGAATAAACTAATTTCTTTGATACTGTACTTAAGTTGCACATCTGCAGCATTCAAGGCAGTTATGTGCTTTGTGGATGCCTGTGAAGAGTTCAGTGTAGGTAGGGATTAATCTTACCTATAGAGGTAGGCCTGATCCCAAATCTTTAAACATTAGTCACTCATCTGAAAAAATAGGTCTTTAGGTATAACATGCACAGCCTTTGAGGAATGACTGATAGTTGGCATCCATAGGTGCTGCACCCTTTGCAAGTTTGTATTCCTCCAGTAGAACTAATAGTTGCCAGAACTTGGAAAAAACATAAATCTGTATAGTGTTACTGGAAGGTATAGAATTAGCTCCCTTTAAGCTTAATTGATGTACGTGACTTTAGATTTTTTGGGGGTAAAATTCAGAAAGATTGAAAAAAGGTATCATAATGTAATCTGTGTATTGGTTATTTTTTAGAATTGTTATATTTTGTAAAAACATTACCTTCACCTAATATTAATACTTTTGATTTGTAGGAGAGAGTGTACCAGTGACTAAAACTCCTCTACCTAACCCTAAATTGTCTAAGTCTCAGGAGGATATTCTCTTTAACCTGAAGGACCACTCTAAGCACGTTCTCTTCTGTGGTACACACGTACTACAGACCCGGTTCTACGGCTCTCACCAGGTCAAGGCCGTAGTCCTGAGGACAGGTAATACCACTGGTGTCAGAGTACCAATCAATATTAAATATATTTTTTTTTTTTTAAATGATAATGGTATGCAATATCTATAATAAATGGGTATTGCATATTTTTATTTGCTGAAAATATATGTAAAATTTAAGATATGGCAACTTTGGACAAAATATAATTTGTGTTCCTTATTTCAGCAGCTTGTCTTCAAATTATTGTAGAGTAAATCAATTGCAGAGAAATATTTAATCTGTACCAATATTTTTACCTTTGTATAGAAGAGTAATGGCAGTGTTTTAGTTCCTGTAAATAATATTCATTTTTTCCTTTGTACAGTCCTGTATAATGTATTATAGTGATCAGATGAAGATATTCTTTGTATTTTGCTATCAGGTTTTTCAACGGCAAAAGGAGAATTGGTGCGCTCAATCTTATATCCCAAACCTGTGGATTTTAAATTCAACAGGGACACATACATATTTGTGGCCATACTAGCAGGAATTGCTGGAATCGGATTCATTTACACAGTGGTGTTGATGGTACAGTATTATTGACAGGGGTAGAAAAATTTAAAAATCAATTGAGAAGGCACCAAACCATATGAAGATGTATAATAGAAGGGTGGATCCATATAATTAGAATTATCTTTTTGTTCCACTTATGAATGGTTTTTTTTTTCAGGAAGTCAATCAAAATTTAATCAGAAATTAATTACAATTAATATCCCAGGTACAAGACTCTGAACTCTTTGAAGATATCTTCCTTCGTTCTATGGATTTGATCACCATTGCTGTACCCCCGGCCCTGCCAGCTGCCCTTACTATCGGGATTGTGTTTGCACAGAGTCGTCTCAAGAAAAGTCAGATTTACTGCATCAGCCCACATAGTATCAACATCAGCGGTACCATCAATGTTGTATGCTTTGATAAGGTTAGATAATAAAGTTTTGATATAAAATCTTTACTAAATTTATAGTAGAGCAATTGTCAAATCCATGATTCTGTGAAGAATATAATTTTTCTGCATAATAAAATACTGTAATATCACTAATGATCTTGGTGGTTAAATTTTGTTGTTTTTGAGGTATGGAGAAATCCATGAATTCATGACCATCATGAAATATAAAATTTAATAAGCATTATTACTCAATACTTCTCTAACCACAAAATCAAATCCCCACATACCATATTTTTTTTTCTCAAACCACGAAAATTTGCCCCCATGAAAACATGGTTTTTTCCAGTATCCTAAGTGGTAATTTAGCTCTGAAAATTGAATGAATATCAAATAAATTATCTTTGCTAAAATCTACTGTTATGGTTCCAGACAGGCACACTGACAGAGGATGGATTAAACATGCAGAGTGTTGTCCCCGTACAAGATGGCTGGTAGGACAAATGTCAGAGTCAGAGAGTTTTTTCTATTATCTGTAGATATACTGTAGAAGTACTTTTTTCCGCGTGGTATTAATTTACGCTATGTACGCGGTCACAAATTTTCCGCGGAAATTTGTCCAAGCGTACTTAATATAAATGTAAGGCATATAGTGACAATCTAGAAAATCCGCGTAATTTTCTACACGCGGATTAAACAGAAATTGAGATTCCGCGGAATTATGACCCAGTGGAAAAAAGTACGTCTACAGTATGTAAAGTTCTTAATAGCAAGACTCACTTAGATTATCTGAACTCATTAATAACTATAACTCTCAAATTTAATTAATCCCATGGTGTTTATACTGATATAATTTAGACTTTGATATAACCTTTAACTGTACAATTTCAAACTGTCCCTATTGTACAGTTTTACCGAGGAGGTCCATGATATAAAGCTCCTCCCACCTAAACAGAGCCTGCTTCTGAACGCCATGGCAACCTGTCATTCCCTGACGATGATTGACGGGGTCCTCAGTGGGGATCCTTTAGATCTCATCATGTTTGAGGCCACAAACTGGGTATGTGACTGAAACATGATTTATTACCAATAATATAGAGCTGTGCTTCAATCTTAAAGATATTTTAAGAATGGAGTATATTTTTAAATACCGATATAAAATTGCATTTTTCCATGTCAATTCTATGACAAAAAATTATGGATTATTCATTGTTTGAGGACTGTCATTACATGTATTTAATAGAAGAAAAAAGTAAAGGTCATGAACTGTTTTTTTTATTGCCTTAAAAGAATCTAGAGGAGCCGGGAGAGGAGGAAGCTAGTAGATATGATATGATTGTCCCCACCATAGTCCGACCCAAGGCGGTCAAGGACAACCAGGAGCTCTTTGATGAACAGTTCAAGGTAAGATATGATTGTCCCCACCATAGTCTGACCAAAGGGGGTCAAGGTCAACAAAGAGCTCTTTGATGAACAGTTCAAGGTAAGATATGATTGTCCTCACCATAATGTGACCAAAGGGGGTCAAGGCCAACAAAGAGCTCTTTGATGAACAGTTCAAGGTAAGATATGATTGTCCTCACCATAATGTGACCAAAGTGGGGTCAAGGTCAACAAAGAGCTCTTTGATGAACAGTTCAAGGTAAGATATGATTGTCCTCACCATAATGTGACCAAAGGGGGTCAAGGTCAACAAAGAGCTCTTTGATGAACAGTTCAAGGTAAGATATGATTGTCCTCACCATAATGTGACCAAAGGGGGTCAAGGTCAACAAAGAGCTCTTTGATGAACAGTTCAAGGTAAGATATGATTGTCCTCACCATAGTCTGACCAAAGGGGGTCAAGGTCAACAAAGAGCTCTTTAATGAACAGTTCAAGGCTAGATATGATTGTCCCCACCATAGTCTGACCAAAGGGGGTCAAGGTCAACAAGGAGCTCTTTGATGAACAGTTCAAGGTTATATCTGATACTACTGTAGTGAGACCAAAGGGAGATAATTTCAGGGACGATACTGAGCTCTTTGATAAATATTTCAAGGTACAATCCTCAACATTTATCCTATCATAGTCAGTCCAAAGGGAGATAACTCAAGGAACAACAAAGATTGCTTTAGGTAAGATATTATTGATCCTCTCCAGCATAATCAGATCAAAGGGAGTTAACTCCATGAACAACAAGAAACTCTTTATTGAACCGGTCAAGGTAAGTTCTGATTTAGTCTTGGTAAGAGTTACCTCTCTTATCTGGGGGTCAATGAACCTTAATGTTAACCTTTAATTCACATCACAATTTTATTTTCAGTGCCAAGCAATGTTCACAAGTTCTTAATCAATTACATGAAACATATATTGTGCACAGTTGAAAAAATGATGTTAATTCAAGGGAATAAAATGAGCTCCCTAATAAATGGATAGCTGCAAGTTCTTGCAGATTTTTTTATCACAGTAGTCAGACCAAAGGAAGCTTAATCTGTAGATGACAGTATGCTCTTCAGCACACAGTATAAGGCAAGCTAGGTTAAACAGGATATTAGTAGTTATGTCAATCCAAGGACTGTTTGATGAATTAACATTTCAATGTATGATGTGTTTAGAACAAACAGGGCCATGTTCAGGCTAAAAAGAATGCCTGTCTGACATCTTAATGAAGGTTCAGGGGAATATTTCAGTTCAGGAATAACTGCAGGCTAAGCACAAATGTTCATTCATCTGGATTAATTAGTCCTCAAAGCCCATTCAATAACATGCAAAATGAACTTCTGGAAGTAATTTAGTTTATTGACCTCCTCTAAAAAAGGATGCCTTTAAAATATAACTTTGAAATTTCATTTTTGTAGCCAAAATATGAGGAGATAGCCATCATGAGGCAGTTTACTTTTGCCTCCAGTCTACAGAGAATGTCTGTCATAACACGGAAATTAGGAGCCCCGAACTTTGAACTCTACACAAAAGGGGCCCCAGAAATGATTGCTTCCCTGTCTAAACCCGAAACAGGTAAAATTTAATACTTATTGAATTCAATTTGAACAATCAGAATTGGGAAGAATATTAAATTCACATCACAATTTTATTTTCAGTGCCAAGCAATTTTCACAAGTTCTTAATCAATTACACGAAACATGGTTACAGAGTTCTTGCCCTTGCATACAGATCCCTTCCAACAAAATTAAAGTATGCAAAGTTACAGAGAATTCAGAGGTATGTATTCCAAAAGATGTCAACAAAATGTTACCAGAGTAAAAATCCTTATTTGACAAGTATACCTGACACTACAATGAATTTACTTGGTTAATTAGTCTTAATTATACCCCACGCAACTAGTTGCGGGAGGTATAATGTTTTTGACCCGTCCGTCAGTCAGTCCGTCAGTCAGTCAGTCAGTCAGTCAGTCCTCTTTTTTTTGTCAGCGCAACTCCTCATAAACCGCTGCACAGAATTTCGTCAAACTTTGCAGGTATTTAGGACACAATGTGTAGATGTGCATATTACCAGGAAATTCCGATTCCATTATTTTTTCCGGGAATTTCCGCACTTTTTAACTTAGGCATTTGGCCATACCTTGAATATAGAGATGAACAGTTTGTCAGCGCAACTCCTCATAAACCGCTGCACAGAATTTCGTCAAACTTTGCAGGTATTTAGGACACAATGTGTAGATGTGCATATTACCAGGAAATTCCGATTCCATTATTTCTTCCAGGAATTTCCGCACTTTTTAACTTAGGCATTTGGCCATACCTTGAATATAGAGATGAACAGTTTGTCAGCGCAACTCCTCATAAACCACTGCACAGAATTTCATCAAACTTTGCAGATATTTAGGACACAATATGTAGATGTGCATATTACTAGGAAATTCTGATTCCTTTATTTTTCCGGGAATTTCCACACTTTCCAACTTAGACTTTTTGGCCATATTTTGAATATAGAGATGAACAGTTTGTCAGCACCACTCCCTTTAAACAGTTGTACATAATTTCTTTTATCCAAAAGAGTTTTGCCCATTATTCAAGAAAATTTCTTAACCCCCCCCCTCCCCCCCCCCCCCTCCCCAATTACTTCAAATTAATGTTTGGATTTGTATAATGCCAAGAAATTTTGATTCCATTATTTATCTAGAAGCTTCATTCCACATTTAAATGTCCTCATATATAAGACATTTTGATGTGAAGATTTTTTGCAATTATTGCCCTTTTTGATCTATACTATGTATTTAAAGTGCACTGTGCCTTTCATTATGTGTTTCACTGTCAAGTTTGGGGGGAGCGTGGGGTATGTGAGCTAGCTCACTTTTTCTTTCATTGATTCTAAAATCTCAGAGAGCAAGTGGAAAGAAATCTGACTTTCCTGGGATTCCTGGTGCTGGAGAATCGACTGAAGCCAGAAACCACCCCTATCATACACAAACTCTTAGATGCTGACATCAGGACTGTCATGGTCACAGGTACAAAGCACATAGAATTCTCCTAAAACTGCTGTTTAATATTAAAAGGCATTGTAATAACCTGTTTTTTTTCTGTTTTTTTTTTTACAAGAATTCTACAAGCAATATTCATACTGCTAGTATATTTAACAAGAATCAAATAATATATTTTTGTCTCTCTCAGGTGACAACATGTTGACAGCCTTAAGTGTGGCCCGAGAATGTGGAATGGTCAGTGAACATCAGAAAATCATTTTAGTCCAAGCGTTTCCAGGGATGCCCGGTAAAAATGACCCCTGGCTGGAGTACATGTACACCGAAGATCCTGAGGACCACAGTCAGGGGAAGTCTACCGTGAGTATCACTTTTACTCGAGTTAAAGTTACCTGTACAGTACAATGTACATGTATAGCCAAGTCCTGGAAGTTATTTTTTAAATGTCCTTAAAAAAACATTCCATGTTTTCCATATATCCAATTTTATTTTAAGACAATCTGCAGAGCTCTCTTTAGTAAAGTACAATATAAAGTTTGGTTAAGAAAATGAGTGCAAATCTGTGGCCCTGATCATTGTACTTGAATAACAAGTTGTAGAACCAATTTAATGTACATTATATACATGTCCTTAATATATGTATTTCCAAGTTTTCAATTTTGGCACTCATTTTGGTGGTGTACTTTTTGGGTGCATACTTTATATACTTGAAGTAATCAAAGATGTTTTACATGTCAGAATGTATAGTGTGATACCAGTAATTCTGTATGTGTACTCCTGAAATATAGGGTAATGCACTGTTTGTAATAAATGTGTATATATGAATTTAGTATTTTTAGCTCACCTGAGCCGAAGGCTCAAGTGAGCTTTTCTGATCACATTTTGTCCGTCGTCCGTCTGTCTAGCTGTGTACATCTGTCTGTTCTAAAAACTTTTCACATTTTCGACTTCTTCTCAAGAACCTATAGATGGGCCAATTTCAACCAAATTTGCCACAAAGTATCCTTGGGTGAAGGGGATTCAAGTTTGTTCAAATGAAGGGCCATGCCCTTATTCAAGAGGAGATAATTGGGAATTAATGAAAATTTAATGGTATGTTTTAAAAATCTTCTAAAGAACCACTGTGCCAGGAAAATGAAACTATAGGGGAAACATCCTCAGGTAGTGTAGATTCAACATTTTTGTTCAAATCATGACCCCCGGGGGTTGCATACGGGGCCAAAATGGCCGACCAAATTAACATAGAAATAAGGAAAATTCTTTAAAAATCTTCTCAAGGAATAGCAAAGACATTAATTGATCATATTTATATGGAAGCATCATCAGGTAGTGTAGATTCAAGTTTGTTCAAATCATGACCCCGACTGTAGGGCGGGGCCACAATGTTTGACCAAAGTTTAACAGAAATATGTAGGAAAAATCTTTAAAAATCTTCTTCTCAAGAACAGCAAAGCTATGATTGGTCATAGTTTTATGAAAGCTTCCTCTGATAGTGTAGATTCAAGTTTGTTCTAATCAAGGCCCCGGGGGGTAGGGGCGGGGCCACAATCTGACCAAAGTTTTACATAGACATAGGAAAATTCTTTATAAATCATCTTCTCAACAAGAATGCTGAAACCATGATTGGTCATGGGACTACTTTTGGATTTAAACTTTTCAATAATAAACCAATTTCTACTTTTTCCTAGCCACAGTGCTCAGGTGAGCGATGTGGCCCATGGGCCTCTTGTTTTTACTAACAGGAGACAAGATTGACCATGCCTAATGGAGATTTCACTGATCCTCACTTTCACTTTGCTATGGATGGAAAATCATGGGCTATTGTCAGAAATCACTTTCCATTACTTCTGCAAAAAGTAAGTCATACATTGGTTTAAAAAATTCTCAGGTCCAAATTACTTCTATGTAACCAAATTTTACAGTACATATTTCTGTACAAAAAAGTTCTCTGGGGATAATGTACAGGTCTGGGATGTTAATTTTGATGACTGTGTTCTAGCTATTTTCGATGAAATAAATCTAAATAAATCTGACCATGTACATGTTGAATGCGGCACTCAGTAGAACATATCTTTATTAGATCTGCACCAGAGGCACAGTGTTTGCCAGAATGTCGCCCGAAAAGAAATCTCAGCTGATTGAAGTTCTACAGGAACTGGGGTAGATATTTTTTTTTTAATCATAGATTTTAGATGACAAATAAATGAGGCATTTGTTAAGAATGAGGAAAAAACTTGACATTGCACTTTTCATCAAATAAGTTATTGCTTCTATGCCTTTAATCTCATGACCTCTATGGACAGGTACTTTATGGGGATTGGAGATAATGAATCTCTCTCTCTTTTTTTTTTCTCCGTGAACAGGTACTTTATGGGTACGTGTATAGATGGGCTAATGACTTTTCTCTCTCTGTTTTCTATGGACAGATACTTTGTGGGTATGTGTGGGGATGGGGTTAATGACTGTGGAGCCCAAGACAGCTCATGCTGGTATCTCGCTCTCTGAGGCAGAGGCATCACATCTCCCTTCACATCCAAACAACCCAATATTGAATGTGTACCAATCGCTCATAATGGTAACTCAAGAAAACCAACCAAACACTGTCCTAATTAAAGATCATTCCTAAATAATCTAATATTGAATGAGCCCCCACACTCATCAGGTAAGATGAAGAAAAACATCCAAACACTATCCTAAATAAAGAACATATCCTATGAACCTAATATTAATACAGTGGACCTTCAGATATCCGGACGCCAGATATCCGGACGCTTCACCTTCCGGACGATTTTTCTCGGGAACATTTTCTTAACGTAATTTTGACATCATGAAATGAAATTTGGTTCCGATATATCACATGAATATTTACTACAAAATGTATTTTTACGTTATAATTTTTCATTTATCCTTGGACTTAAAAATTTTAATTTGTACTTCCACTCTTGTCAACATTCACGCCTGAACTGAAAGTGATAATTGTTATCAAAACACTGGCCGGATTGATTGTTTTTACAAGACGATCACCTGTGACCTGTTATGAATGACTTCCGATGATTAGTGCACAGATGAAGCATGCTAAGTGGATATGGTCATATACGCGAGATCGATACACAAATGAAAATAAACAATTAACTGTGTTGGTAACAGAAAACAATTTTCTATTCAGTTATTTGTTACCTGCGAGATATTTATAATTTTTGTACAGAGATTGTTCTATTTATAGACGGGACGACATAGTTTCATAATCTCGTTGTCTACACATGTGCACATTGTGTAATTTTCATCTGTAGATTGGTGGCAGTTATCATCGAAAAAAACCTAAAACATTCAATCAAATTTGAATAATTTTAGACAATCAATGATTTCGCTTGGGAAGATTACTGCGTAAATTTTTAATATGTCAGATTTAGCGCACATGAGTAATATTCAAATTAAAATTAGACTCGATACTGACAGCTCGCTTGGGTGTAATCAAAGCTGCAAATGAGAGAATTCGCTTGGCTCAATTTATAAGAAGAAGAAAGTAAAAATAAGCTGGGTAATTAAAAATCTGCCCATATAAGCAGCGTTATATCCAATGTTTGTCATTCTGCTCTCCAGCTACAACCATTTCTTAGACCGCCGGCAAACTTTTTATTGAGTGAACATTTCCGTATATTATTTTAAGAAAAAAATCTGCCAAACGCACTTGGGAAAAGTAGATCTTCCACGTTCTTCATTGCAAGATATATATAGGCAGTTTGTCATTGACTTGTTGAGAAAATTACCATTTTAAAATAATAAACTATTATTTCTATACGATAGTATTTATCTTTCTTTATATATATAAGAATTACAATACAAATACAGTATACATGGAAGAGAAATCAATAGAATTCAGATATCCGGACGCTTCACTTGGACAATTTGCTTGGGAACCAAAGTATGTATATAAATGAGGCTCCACTGTATATACCAACACCAAGAAAACAAACCAAACACTTTCTTAGATAATGATCATGTCTAAACAGCTTAATATTGATTGTTTCCCCCAAATATCAGATAAGTGACCAAGAAAACCAACCAATGATGTCCTAAATAATGATTAATATGGATCAGCCTAATAGGTAATGAATTGTTTATGATTTAAGTTCTTTGAAAATAATTTATTGCTGATGTTTTCTTTTAGACAGGGCAGAGGGGCATTGGTGACATGGTATTTACATCTTTAAGTATATGGCCTGCTACAGTTTGACTCAGTTTGTCTCAGTGTTAATTCTCTATTGGGTGAGTTTGCTGTCCATGACCATGTATCATTTTATGTATGTTTTAATTGATATCATTATTATATTACAGGGTTTTCTATAATTTTGAGCAATTAAGGGGGTGAATTTATCATTTGAGATTTATTTGTTTCCAATCGATTGCTAGTTTTGCAGTTCAAAGATGTGAATTCCAATCATTGAAGCAGTTATAAAATTCTCTTGCTGCCCTATTTTTGAAAACCCTACTCTGACATGAGAATCATATGAATCAATTAATTCATGATTTCATTAAAATCTTTTTTGAAAATATTTGCCAACCTAACGGACTTTGAGTTCCTTTATATAGATTTATTCCTGCTAACATCCCTCAGTGTTACATGTAAGTTATTATATAGCAGTAATTCTACAGTAAAGCACGCTAATATACCAAACACACATATGAATTAGTACTTGTATCCTGATTCTGTTTACCTTGTAATCTTCCAGTTGGATACACTAATGCCTATGACCAGCTGTCTAAGGATCCACCCCTGGTCAGTCTGTTTAGTGTCTCCCCTGTTTTATCCATTATCCTCCACATGGTGGTCCAAACAGCTGCTCAGGTCTTCTGCTATTTTCATGTAATGGAGCAGCCATGGTATGTTCATATGTGTACAATGTGATCTTGAAAATCTATTGATACATTAAATACAATGTATTTAGAATTTCTTCTTTCTTTTCCAGTGTAGTATAATTTTCATATTAATAAAATTTATATTAAAAGCAAAGAAAATTCTTTCCTTGGGACAAAATAATACTGGTATTTAGTCCAACAATTATTATGTAGTCTGTTTTAGGTTTGTTGTTCTTTTTTGTACATGATGTATTTATCTCTTCCAATAAGCCATGTTTTATTTTTATTTCAAAATAAAGTGTTAGAGATTAATAATGACAGGCTTTGAGTTAAGGTTTAAGACAAATCTTTATGGACCCTACAACAATTAAATTTTGATATTTTTTTTTTTTTTTTATTTCAAAGTTGCATTTTCATTGGCAAGTATGTATAGCCATTTCTTAAGGAAAACTCTAAATGCATTTGTTATACATGTATTTGATGACAGGTTTGTTAAATACCATAAAAATGAGGATGATGACTACACCAGCTATGAGAACATGGCTGTTTTTGTTGTGTCCATGTATCAGTACATCACTCTGGCAGTAGTGTTCTCTAAAGGAAAACCTTATCGAAAAACCATATTCTCAAACTGTAAGTAGGAATTAAATCATAATTTATTTGCATTTATTTGCAAGAACTATAATTTGTTGCAGATGAATTACATGAGACAATGTGCTTGTAAAAATATCATTCTTTTGAACATTAGTATTCCTAAAGATAATATAGAGCAGTAACCAAAATAAGTGAAAATTTTGTCCCATTAAAATAAAGAGTACATGTCTATCGGGTAAAAATAAGGTGTTGCAAAATTAAAGTGATCTACAGTACATGTTTTGTATAACAATAATTCAAAATCATTTTTAAATAATATACTAGCTGTAAAGATAACGTAAGATACTGATTTATTTTTCAGATTTTTTTATGGCTAATTTGGCCATTTGTATTGGAATGTCATTATGGCTGACTATCTATCCTACTGATGAGGTAGCGGAATTCTTTGAACTGAAGCCAGCTCCTTCAATTCCCTACAGATGTATCTACCTAGGAATTGCAGCCATCAACTTCTTCTTAGATTATCTTGTTGAGGTAATTATATATGTTTTCTACCAATAGGACCAACTTGTTTAAGTTCAGCAGATTCATTTCCAGAATCTAAATTAATGTATATGGTAAAATTCGTATTTTCTGTACATAGTATTACATGTATTAAAATTGGAACATCTGCAGTTAAAATTTGGTTTGACTTTACTTATTTTAATCCTTTAAAAAACATCTTGTTTGCATTTATGTTAAAAATAATCACTTGAATGTATGAGTTCTTGTTGCAGACATTCATCATTGAAAGCTATTTTGTGCAAGAGCGTTTGCAGTGCTGGATTGAGGACATTTTCTCCACCTCCAAGTATCAGTATGAAATCTTGGAAGAGGAAATCAGCAGGGACAAGTCCTGGCCCAATATATCCTCTGCAGAGACACTGGCTCAGGCCTTTGAGCGACTGGACAGTCAGCAGGCTCGAGACTTTGACCAGAGCAGTCTGCTGAGCAGCTTACTAGACTCGGCGAGCGAGACACAGAGTATTCGATCGTTGAGATCAGTGGAGTTAGACCCCTCTCACAGTGACGCCGTGCTCCAAAGGGAGACCTCCAATGTCAGTGATGGTTACCATGTGGACATTGATGATGAATCACAGTTAATTAAGCAAGACCCTCCTCCTCAAGGTGTGGATAATCCAGCACTGGACATCGAGGAAGAAGAAGTGTCCAGTACAGTGGGATTATAACCATTACCACCCATCTCACATAAAATCCTAGTGCAATGTGATGAAATTTCAGTATGTGACTATTGACAACAGCACACTGACAATAGAGTGTAGTGTGGTGCTTAGTTTATGACCATCCATCACATACTGATTAAAGCGTAGAATATCATGAGTGATCAAACAGTCATACTTATTTCATTATATTTATTATATCAGTAGATTTGTACCTTCTCTTCCTCTTTCTTATACAACACTTGATTAGCAGGGGGTATATAGAGATGCAGATGTCTGCTCTTTCATAACAATTAGGGGTACCCATCTCTTATTCCAAACTCCTCTTTTAAAAGTTAATAAAATTTAATCAGACTTTCACAGATTCTTTATTATATAGTGCAATACCTGCAATTACCCACCTATTTTAGTTTTCAATTAAGCAGAAAAAATGGCAACCCTTTTTCAAAATATGATTACTGACATTCTTTCTATAACAGGGGAGGTCTCTTATCTGTAACTCCTCTTATACCAATTAATGAATAAAATTAAATGAGACTTGCACAGAATTTTTCTTGCATAGTGCCACTGTGCACCTCCTATATTTACATTCTGGTTGGACAGATATTATGATAAGGGTCTGTCATTTTGTTAGTTCAGTGTTGGGGGGGCTTTCAATTAACATTTCCTGTAGTGTAAGTAAGTGGGGGGGCCTGGCCCCCCCCCCGGTTGGGATGGCAGCCATGATTTTTTCCTTTATTGGGGAGGGGGTGATTTTGCTAAATAATAAAATATCTAATAACTATATCAAGCATTCTTTCACTTGTACATGTATTTTTGGTCATCCGATCTCCATCATGGTGCTTCATTTATCATGTTTATAAGCATTTGAACAATATTGGATCTAATTTCATCCACTTTCAAAATGCTTATCTTTTAAAGATATATGAGATTTCCTGACCATTTGTTTGTTGTTTGATATCCAGATCATTTCTTTCACACTGTGACCATTTCATAGACCCATTAAAATTCAGTTGTTACAATTTGGAGAGAGGTGTTTTGCAATCAAAACTTTGGTTATCAGGGCCTCAGTTTTAACTTTTGTGGCTATAAATAAACAAAGCATAGTCAGATATAAAATAGGGGATACTGTGACACAAAAAGTAGAGATGACCTGTGACAATCATAAATTATGAAATTCTAACACCTTTGAAAATGTTTGTCACCAAAATGAAAACTGAAAATGGGGGATTTTGATTTCGGTCTGTCTGTTTCTGTAACACTCTAAATTCCATGAAATATCTTCGAGAAGCCTTTGAGCTTTTGCAATGAAATTGTACATAACAACTCCCTGTGGCCTAAGGAAGATCCTACTAATATTGAGGTCAAAGGGTAAGAAATAAATCAATTTTGTCTGTTTTAATTCACTAAAACTCTCTATGGCAAAAGGAACATCTCTACTTATTTTGAGGTCAAGGTCATAAATTCATACATTATGTTAATTTGTATATAAAACTTTCATTCAAAATGATATCTAAAGAAGTTTTTGCAATAAAATTTTATACCATAACTTCCTATGGCCCAGCCCATTCCTCTTTAAAGTGTTCCACCCCCATCCCTCTCTAGATCAGGTCATGCTCCTCTTTATTCCTTATGTGGGCAACACATACTCTCTATTTGAGCTTGTTTTCTTTATTTCTGAAATTTAGAAAAAACAAACTGTTTGAACTCGCAGTCATGTCAAAAAACCATGTAATGTAACTTTCTGCTGATGAAGCCAAGTTGGACATTGCTTGTATAACTTAATGACTCAAGTTGACTCAAGGCCTATAGCTGTTGGCCTCTTGTTTAATATTTATGTACTATCTTATTTTAACCAAACTGAAAATTTGGTATCTAGTGGTATACCCAACTTTTAAATACATGTTTTCATAACTGTACTCAAAATAATTTCCTCATTTTATCTGACTTTGCAGTCCTTGGCTAAGAACTATATTTTTGATACTCGTCACATCTGTCCGATGTCAGAAACAAAGCCTACCTGCAGACATTTGTTTTTCAAGTCTAAGCAGATACATAAAATATTATTTATATATATTCCTCTGGTCCAAGTATAAATGAAATAAATGAAAAAAAAATATATTAAACGTGTGTATGAAATAAAAATAGTTATGCTGTTTTTGTTTATTTTAATCAACTGACATAATCTACAAACTGAAAAAAAGGAGGCCCATGGGCCACAATGCTCCCCTGGGTAATTATGGACCTGCTGTTAATCCCCCTCATATCTACATGTATTCCTCTTTTAAAGAATGGAGGCGTACAAGGCAAAGTCAATACCCCGCTCTGAGAAAAGATATTTCTCATGAAAGCGATACATATTTTGAAATTATATGGTTTACATGTATATCATCTTTTACACATTTAATTCTGTATTTCATTGTTTTAATATGATATTATTTATTTTTTCACTTATGTTTTTAAGATATGTGAAAACAAAAAAAAGCTTCACATTTGATTTGAACTCTCTCCATATTGCAGGGTTTACCACATGACCGACCACGTTAACCACTACGCTACGAAGTATATGCGTTATCGTAGCTGCAGATCTGCAGCGTTATTGTTTTACATATTTGTCTTTGACCATATGGTCAAAGACAAATATATAAAACCATAACGCTACAGATCTGCAGCCAGCGTGATCGATGTCTGTCAGTGTGATATAAATGAACGGATTTGTTGAGGGTTTGTTGAAGCATGCATACATTTTTTCAGAAAAGATCGATTTCACATAGAATGGGTTCAGATTCCATTTTTTGGACAAATGAAGATTTCACATTTACGTTTCTATCATTTAAGTGTTCATGAAAAATGGAGACTTGACCCATGCATTCATGTTCAAAATTCATTTTTTATGGCTCTAGTAAACCCATTTTCCGCTAAATATGCTTAACTGTCAACTTTGAAAAGAGATTGTCAAATGATAAGTCGTTCAGTAAAATAACAATAAAATGTTTCGAAGATGATATTACTGAGAACATGATTTTCAAAAAAGGTAACTTTTCCGTTAATTTTTAAAATTGAGAAACAAATTGTCTCAGAGCGGGGGATTGTCCACGCCTTGTATGCCCTCTTTTTTTGTTGGTTTATCATGTCCCACATCAACCTACCCCTGGGCTCATGAGTTTAAACAAGAGGCCCATTTGCCACATCACTCACCTGAGTTACTTTAGCCATGGTATTCTTTACAAGATTTCCCATTTGAATACCTATTGTGCTCCACACTATGCCCAGTTGGTCATAATTTTGAGAATGTAGAATGTACACTACACCAGGATGCTTCCACATAATTTTCAGTTTTTGTGGCCCAGTGGTTCATATATTTTATGGTAAAACTTGGATTCCCTATTATGGCCCAGCCCTATCCCCGAGGGTCATAATTTGAACAATGTAGAATCTACACTACCCCAGGATGCTTTTACATCAGTTTCAACTTTTCTGGCCCAGTGGTTCTTGAGAAGAAAAGTTTTTAATGACCCCACCCTATTTTTGTCTTTTCTTGATTATCTCTCCTTGTAAGGGGACTTAGCCCTTCAGTTTGACAATTTAAACGCCCCTTCACCCAAGGATGATTTTAAGTTTGGTTAAAATTGGTCCAGTGGTTCTTGAGGAGAAGTTGGAAATGTGAAAAGTTTGTAGACAGACGACAGAGCATTCAGCTCAGGTGAGCTAAAAAAAAAAAACAATCTAAAACTTGGATGCTACCTTGTAAACATCATGGTTTTGCTCAGCTGCAGAACTGTAGTAATATGTTGTTTTTAATATTAGTAGATCTTTGATCATAAAACTACAGATCCCATTATGCAAATAACAGCAAAAAATTTTCTGCACAATGTTGGGGCAGAATTTCTCCACTTTCCATCATAGGACAACCCAACTACTCACTTATCCACCTCCTTACCCTTCTCTAGTCATCTCTACATATATAGAACCCTCTACACTGCACACTAAAGAGTTGATTATATATGGTATTTTTCCAGTTAGAGTGATCGGCTCTAGATCTTAATTCTAAAAAAGAGATATTCACAGTATACTAAAAAATTTATAATCAATTAAAGTTTTCCTAACATTTTAAAAGGCCAAGATAAATTATTTGAACATGTTATTTACATGTACTTTCTCTGTGGAAGTAAACAACATGATTTTTATTCACAGATACTGTGTTGTGTTTGATTATTTTTCCTGAGGGAAAATGCCATATAGTGAAGAATAATTATTAAAGAAGCTTTTTACACCTTTATAAAATATATTTTTCTCAATGTCTAAAAAAAATTTTGCACTGGTTAGAGAAGGTCCTTGAAAAAGAGGCTCAGAGACCACATTACTCAGCTGAGCACATTGGCTAGTGTCCTTTCTGACATATTAATTTTATCAAATAAACTCTGCAATATGACTAGTTATATTGCAGAGTTTATTTGATAAAATAAAATATGTCAGAAAGGACACTAAGAAAAAGCAGAAAATGTTTAGTATTGAAATGTATAAATATCCAATCCCAAATTCGCTGTTCTCGAGATTTTAATTTTTCTTATGTTTAACTATGTAAAACTTGATCACCCATTGTGGTCCCACCCTAGCTGCAGATCTGTAGCGTTATGGTTTTACATATACATGTATTGTTTTTTATCATAACGCTCAAGGTCCTGTAATGCACATTTACGGCGCAATATTTTTTGCGCACTTTCGGGGAGAATTTCTCCACTTTCTAGCATTGGTCAATCAACTACAACGCATTGAAGTCAATGAAGTGGTAAAACTTTCCGTTTGACTGGAACGTTTTGAGCTATCTTTAGAACGATGATTGTCATACAATGACACGCCCATTTCTTTAGAAAGGAAAAATCGGTCAAATGGTTCATTCGAATACCTGTAGAACAAGTATGCCTTAAATATAATAGCCAATCAAATTGACGGTGTACATAAACACCGAGTAAGCACGTGTTCGACCGATATATGTGTTATGACAACGCCAATGAACATGATAAATAATGTAGTAGTGTGTATAATATGCGTATATAATAAATAAGTGTTTTAGATTTAATGTAAATAAATTAAACTACCATAATAGATAAAAGTATAAAAAGCTTGATCCGCTCCTTTATATCCTTAGCCCTTTACCTGTACACCTGTATATAGATTAGTTACCTTAGGGCAGTTCAAAGGTTTTAGTGTTATTGGTTCTATTGGTAGTTTGGTTGTCAAGTTGATTTTCATTGGTTTTATTCTTATGGTCATTGGTTTTACCGCCAAAATATTCATTCTTTGTCTTGTTGAGTTAATGACCAAGACTGTATTTTATGGACTCCATGACTTTGACATTT